TGTAATTTGAGTTAAATCTTATTAACTCTTATTCAAGAATTAACCCCTTAATTCATGAACCCACATATCATGGTAACACGTAGCAAGTATCATGAATCTAGTATTAAGTGAATAGCGAGTAAACCTATTCCGATTACAACTCCATACATGTAAAATCCTTTCGACATCTAATTTCCCGATTAAGTCTTGGGTATGATTTTGTCGAAACCCAAATTGACTTAATAACTATGATTCTATTTCATGTTTATTAACCCGGTTATGAATCACTATTCATCTCTGCCTTGGCCAAGGACTTTGGATTAATAACTATGAAACACATAGGAAATTCACTTATCTTCATAAGTGTCGAATCCTTTATTGGCCACTAACAAACTTCCATACATATTAACATAATACCCAACTTATCCCTTTAAACGATAGTGCTAGCTACCAAAAGGATAAATCAAAGTAGAATGTAATATGCACAAAGTTACCATTGTGCCTCAAGTCTTAGGATTAGTCATGTACTATTGTAACATGAAAATTCTTATTCGACTGAATAAATTCTTCATTAAGAATTTTCATACGGTCATGTTCAGTGAACTTGTTCTCTAACAAGCACCCACATAAATGTATTTGCGTCACACGCTAATGTTGATGGAATGCAACATTCTTGTCCAACAAGCGTACAAACTATGTGCAAGTCTTTTATGGATTATTCGATATCCCTTCTCGAATCATCCATCGACTTGGAATTGTATTTAAGATCACGGCTTTCAAGATATGTTCCATGATCACCATCTCTATGCGCAACCATACCTTATAACCATAAGTGATCTAGGGATTTTATCTTAAGTGCAATTATAAGATAAATGCTTTCTCTTAAGATAAAGAAATGCCTTATTCATAATATAATTCCAATAGACTGTATTTAAAAGTAGAATACATCCAATTAGATTGGAACGCCGGGTACCCTACTCTAACACCAACCTCTTCCCCTACGCGTGTTAGAGCTCGATTTTAAGGTCTTCAAGAGAGAGGAAAATCGTGATCTATACATATTCAAGAGTTCGGTAGATTCGATTAATCGCACCACCAAGATTAATCGAAGTATGTGTTTAGGTAATCTATTAGAACATCTTAAGGTATAGTATATTCAAACCTTTAGATCTTGAATTTTCAGGCCAACCACCGCCCTGTCCGCCGCCGTCGACCGCCGTAGGAAATCGCCACCGCCGCCCAGATCCACCGGAATGAGTGCAGCCGCACAGCCTTTGTCCGCAGTTGCGCACAACCAGGCTCAATCGCGCAGCCCCGGCGAACGCGCGTGACGACGCCCCTGCTCGTGCACTGTCGCCCCATCTGTTTGCCGCGCACGNGCATCGCGAGCCACCCGCACGCGCTCGAGCATCTTGCGTCCGCCCTCGCCTGCCCGCTTGTCCGCGCGTCCCAGCCCAACGCGAGCCTGCCAGCAAGCCAACGCCCATCTGCAATCGAGCCGCTGCACCTGACCAACGTCTGCCCGTGACCAGCTGAACCGAGCCTAGCTCGAGTCAGCCTTTTGACCGAGTCAACCCAGTGAACCGAGCTCGATCCAATCGGCTCGAGCCCGACGAGCCCGATCCGGTGATCCGTTCGTGATTCAGTGACTCGATCAGAATCGAGAAAGGACAGATCCGGCAGCCCATCGAATTCTGGTAATCAGAAGATCTTCATCAAAGTAAATCAGAAATGTCTCTGAGTCGGCAAAAATTATAAACGGTAATGTTCTAACCCTAACTATGGATTCCGCTGCGTTAAGATTTATTTTGCCAAATTTAAACATGCATGTTGTTGTTGTTCCTAGTAGAACCCAACATAACTAGGTCTTAGACGATGCAAACATTGAGACTTGCCAGGAATTGAGAAAACTCTAGCTGGATGTCGATTGTTCCATTGTGGTCTTTCACACCAACGTTCTTTATCTTATGTCCATTTGGTTATTATTTTGTTTGGCTTATATCGCTTGGTGGACCAACATCTCCTCACATATTTTCCACAATTTTTTCTTAATTTTCTTAAACACAGAAGTGGAGAATACAAACTTCAATATTGGATAATAATAAACATAAAAAACAAACACAAACACAAACAAAATATACTAAAAATACAATAAAATTAGCCTCCTTTTCTCTAGCTAAACACCACTAAGACCACACACTAAGCCGCCAATAGTTTCACACCATAGACTACCATCAACAACTCAACAACGGCCAACACACTTTAAGGTTAACCAGCCCATATGCGACAAAAGAGCAGCATATCTGAAGCCAACAAACCTAAAAACTTCAGTTCACTCGAACTACTAGTAAGATCGAACAACTCAGATCAGAAGAAATCTCAATGACATCAAACTACAGGCAAAGAGCCACAATACAAGGACGCCGCCTTCGGCCGGCCACCGAGAAGGATCCCATTGCCGGCCCCTCTAGAGGTGGGGCGGCGGCCAGGTGGTACGTCGGAGAAGAACAGGAGGAATGGCTAACTAAGTGCTTTTTTTTAACCTTTCGGCGAAGAGAGTTTGAGAGAGAGAGAGAGAGAGAGAAAGAGATGTTTTTAGCGGTAACTCAAATACACAAACATTCAACGAACAATACTTAAGTTTCAAAACTCACAAAATAAAAATGAACACAAAGAGCACAAGATGCTATAAAAATGATGTAAATATATAGCTCTTTAAATCTGATGTTTTGAATCATTCCACTTCATGAGAGTTCATATTTTTTTTTTCACAAATATGCATAATTTTTATTAAGAAAATATTATACTAAGTATGAAAATTTTTATTAGAATAATTCTGTTGTGAAACGAGGACAATACGAATTAAAGACAAGAAAGTAAAATGACACAAGATTTACGTGGTTCGGCAATATGCCTACGTCCACGGCGGAGCAGTGATCTTTTTATTCACCAATCGTCCCAAATACATCAATATACAATGTATTTATATCATAACCCTACAAGGTATAAATTTACATAAATACCCCGTACCGTACCGCGGGGGCTCCGCCCCCGCACCCCAGGCCCAGTTAATCGACCCAGCCCAACAAAGGGCCAATGCCTGCTCGCTACGCTCGCAAGCATCGACCTGCCTCATTCCTTTGTCAATATATGAGCCATATCAACAAAATATACATATATGTATATATGTACTGATATATATTATATATAGGGTAAAGTCCACTTTTGGTCCTCCATGTTTAGGGGGTATCCAGACTGAGTCCCTATTATGTTTTGTTGCCCAATTTTAGTCCTTAAAACAAAAAAATGAGTCCCTATTATGTTTTGGTGCCCAATTTTAGTCCTTAAAACAAAAAAATGTAGTCCCTATAATAGGGAAAAATCCACTTTTAGTCTTTCATGTTTAGGGGTATCCAGACTTAATCCCTATTATGTTTTGATGCCCAATTTTAGTCCATAAAACAAAAAAATGTAGTCCATTTACCTCAATTTCTGTGAATTAACGATCCATTTTTGCTCGACTGTGATGTTCTTTATTTTTTTAAAATTTGTTGATTAATGTCAACTTTGACCAAAGAAAAATAAAAGAAAATTTAAATGCTGAAAATATATTAATAAAAAATTAAACTAAAACAAGAAATTGCACCAAATTAAATTAAAATTTTTGCTCGTCCGATTTCTATTTCCCTAGCATTCGTGCTGCGGAGCAAGCCTGGAATCACAGCTACTGCTCTTGCACCCATTTTCGGGTCATGCCATCGAAAAAAATTGCACCTATCAACCCTCTGTTTTTTAACCATTTCTTATCATATTCCAATTGAAGTTCACAGAAAGTACTTACAGGATATAGAGGGCAACTCAAGAATCTTCTCCCGGGATTATCATCTTTCCAGCATGTAGTCAACTTTGCAACCAGCTCACATCTACAAAATACCACACCATTTCCATCCATTTGATCGGATTTAGTCTCTAGGCGGTCAGGTTTTTTTTTTCTACGTTTCACTGCAGTTCACCATTTCTGCCTTTTATTTTACCTTTTTTCAGCATTTAAATTTTCTTTTATTTTTCTTTGGTCAAAGTTGACATTAGTCAACAAATTTTAAAAAAATAAAGAACATAACGTCGAGCAAAAATGGACCGTTAATTCACATAAATTGAGGTAAAGGGACTACATTTTTTTGTTTTAAGAACTAAAATTGGGCATAAAAACATAATAGGGATTAAGTCTGGATACTCTTAAACATGGAGGACTAAAAGTGGATTTTTTCCTATTATAGGGACTACATTTTTTTGTTTTAAGGACTAAAATTGGACACCAAAACATAATAGGGACTCAGTCTGGATACCCCCTAAACATGGAGGACCAAAAGTGGACTTTCCCCTTATATATATTACGTAATAAGACGAATCTCCAACCGGAGTAGGTGGGTTCTTACAAAAATTTGTGATTGTACTAATGTACATGATCCATATGTAACGTTCACCAAATACTTTCCGGCCCCAGCTTGACCAACTTGGAGTCGCAATCCATATATGAAGATTCTATGTTGTTGAAAATTTACTTGATGGAATAAAATGAAATAATAAAAATATGCTTTGTGAGTTGGCAAAAGATTCGTTTGGTTGATTCAAATTATTTATATGATCATTCTTCATTTCGCTAACATTTACGTAAGAGAATGTTCAATTAAGAAGTAATTCTTGTTACTATGTACATTAAGGAGAATATTATCCATATTGTTAAGCAGCATAAGGCGTTCCCCTCGACGAAAATTAAGAGGCTTTTTTTTTTTT